AGAGTTAGAGACTCAACATGATAAAAGAATGAAATTATCTAGATCAATCAATTCAAAATGCACTAATTTGCAATCAGTTTTAAGAAAATTGTGAAAAATAGTTATTTATAGAATATCTTAAACCATTCCTTATATTGTTAAAATCAATTAAATTGGAATCGATAATAAATATGCTGTGGACTAGATATCCATATATTCATGAGAGGGGACGGAAGTCGTTATTTGATGATTTGTGATCGTGATGTATATGACATAATGTTGATGCTGATTTGTGTTGACTGACCAATGGGCGTTCGCTTATTTCAGTAACAGACCATAATTAGATCTATCATGAACCCGACATGTCAAGGCAACAAGTTCATGCTTTCAATTGACTGGCCTTTCATTTGTCTAACTCAATTGGAACACACAATGAAATATGCTTTCATAACAACATTACATTTTTTTAATTACATTATAATACAAGCTAAATTTAATCTAATTTATCTGGAGAAGAGCTTCCATTTTGCATGCAATATTATTATTTCAATATATATCGGCAAATTATTGAACTTTTAAGTGTACCATTAGAAAGAATACTTACATCTTTGATTGAATCACTAGCAATCGCTTATATTAATTAGAATTGATGGAATCGATTTCGTCTTTATGGAAGTTTTAAAATTGGGGAAATCAAAAAATATTTGGCAGTACGTGTTTACATGTGTTACAAATGAATTGGAAATTAACTATTAAACTTGTAGTATATTTAGCATAAAGTATAAGGGCCAAGGGCTGGATGTATCTAGACTGGTATACTGTGCATGTTGATGTGGGTGCTATGCAAGCAAGGTTTGATAGCGTGCTTTGTTAACAATTCTTCAGTCCCAATGTATTGACGGCTTAGGGAAACTTTTGTATAATTTTTTTGAAAAAGGAAAAATGATTCGAGGACCACCAGTCTGAGACGCCAACAGGACGATAAAGGATTAAAAATGGTATGTAAAGACCTCAGTGTTGAACCTCGTCAGCAAACAATATTTATTTGCATTCGATAATCCCTTCCTTTGATGGAATGAAGTACCCTTTCGGTGCTTCTACTATTGAAATACTTTTTCTGCAATATATTCAAGATATCTTTGCCTTCTATCTCTACAGTCCCTACACTCAAAGTACTTCTGCAAAGGCGAAATTTTTGTGTTCTGACCAATAAACAGTATTTGATCACATCGGACTAGAATGCTAGACAAGAACTACTCATGTGCTGTTTTTGCCAAATTAAAGTTTTTACGTCTCTCCTGCTATTCGTTTTACTCCACTATTCCTTTTTCATGCAAAGAAAATAATGCTCATAAAGCTGATATTTTCATTTCTGTAACTACATTGCGAGCGAAAATAAATGCCAAAGAGTAACCTTAAATATTTTAGAAACTATCTCAATTTCATCGATTAACTGACTGTAAATATAAGTTAATTTGTGTTTTAAAACTGCTTTTAGGTAAAAAAGTTGGAGCCGAAAGGTAAGATTATACCAAAATCAAAAATTCATTTAAATGACTTCAAATATTTGTTTATATCAAATGGCAGGTGTTTTGATAGCTATCATTAGCACTTTAGTTGACTTCAGGCTTCACAAAGGGGAAGGAACATCAAAGTGAAAAAGTCGAGAGGGGGTGGGGACAGAAGAGTGTTTCAAAAATGTAAAAGAGACAGACACAAAGGTAGAAAAATGTGAGATGAGTACTGTGGAAGTAGTCGAACATGACATACAGTGGGGTGATGGTAGTTAGAAGTGACAAGTCAACTGCCGGTTTATTGACTTTTTGCCGTATAAGTATACGTTGCCCAAGGTGCCCCACATGGAGGTAGGTCCATCGCACACCCCCCTCCTTTGAATATTGATGACGTAGAAATAACGCTGGAGAAGAATGCACCTTTTGTGAGGAAATAGCAAAATAGTCACGCATTATTGTTGAAGATACGCAGGCAAATCTAGAATACTTAACGAACGTTTTTTTAAATTAATGAATACGAAAACTAGGACATAGGCTGCTGGTTGTGCAATTTTATATATTCCTCTTCGACCCCACTGCAGAACAAAGTTGTGTAGGCTGGTTTGAAAAGTGTGAGGAAATTTTAAGAAAAGATTTTACTGAGATCTCAGTGGATAGCTTTTATGGAGGTCAAGTTTCCGACATTTAATCTAACCCATGGTTATTCCAAATTTTACTTCCAACGAAGCCCTCCTAATTCTTTGCTGAAAAGTCTTCTGAACTAAGAAAGTGCTTTAATTGTTTTTCTCTCACCAATGACTGGGTAAACAACGCTAGCCACATTTGGTAGTGTTCTTGTACTTTCTATTTTTCCGTCACCTTAAATGTTTTTTTTTTAATGTTGAATCTCAAGAATATTACCAAACTGACGCTAAACGCTCAGAGTGCTCGAAGCAAGTAGAAAATACCCCATTGAGAGTTATTGTTATAGTGCAATAATGAATTGTATCATTAGAAGTCTGGTGAGCACAATTATGTAAATCGAGTATATTGCGGTAGAATTTCTCGAGAGAAACTGTGCTCCAGAAATTAATCACTTTTCGTAAAACTTTGGTTGCTGACTCTGATATTTTCCACACGAATGCCATGTTTATACTTCGCGTGACAAACAAGAACATAAGGAGAGGAAGTGTGGAACAAAATTCAGATTCAGAAGGATGAGCCTTGCCTTTAAACCTTAATCAATTATCAGTCAGACGACGGATTTAATAGCCAGCCCGAAGAAGGCTATGAGGCGGAATAAAAATCCAAAAACGTCTCCCTAGAATACTTTGCAAAACGAGCAGAGAGAAGCACCGTGAAATTGTTTCCGCGTCACCATTGTTTTAACGTCACCACTAACAAATATGAGTGCTACTGGAAGTCAGAGAGTAGAGATCCTCTTTCAAGATGAGAGACGAATACAGTATTCTGTTACAGTGACCCGAAGCTAACGTTTCGAACCAAACGGTACAAAGGGGGAGGGGGTGGGTCTAAGGTAGAGGAGTGAGTGCCACGCTGAAAAAAACCGACATCTATACTCGAGAACCCTACTCCAGGACCTGATGAAAAGCCAATGACTATGGAATATTTAGGTTGGATGGAATGCTCATCGAAGCGGAGAGCTTTACGCGAAACCCGGGAAGTTAGTTGATGAAGGCGTTAAATAAAAAAATGGCGTTGTGAAGAGGAAGGTATATTGATGAAAATTTATCTTATATCTTCCTCCTATTATCATTAGAAATACCGATTGATTCTCATAATGTTTATATGAATTAATGTGATGCTCGCTGCAGAGAACTGAACTTAATGAGACTTCGTTGATATCAACCTGATTTGAAACTGATATGTATATTTTGAGAAATAGGCTCATAGGATCAAAATGATTGAAATTTCAACAAACATGCATTTTATGTGATCATAATTTTATTTGATTCAAATCTATCCAACTTTAACAATAAGATATCGAAATCACTTTATAATTCACGAAACCGTCCTAATTTTGAATTGACAAATCTATCGCCAAATGGAAGAGTGCAAATTAAAGATACAGCTTTTGTGAAGTAATCAACGCTTCCTTTGTCCATTATTTTACTACCAATCAATTTCAGTGCTTCCATGTAGATAGGTAAATCCCTAAATACTTTTAATTTTGCTGAATTTATCGAAATTTTCTTTCACATTTCGAAAGTTATCTCAGTGCTTCTTCAGTCTAACTGGTCTCTTACGGGTGGCTGAATTCAATAAATAATCCAATTGAATTTGTTAGAAATGCGGAAAATTGAACTACCATCAGCAAATTCTCTAAACTGTAGTAGGAATGCAAATAGCATTAGCAAAAGTGTATAAAACGCATGCAATATAACCGAGTAAATACAAGTTTCATTTTAAATATTTAACAAACAGAAATCATTGAAGCTGTGGAGTGCACAACGCTACAATAGCTGAACAATATTTATTTCAAATGGCAGGTGTTTTGATAGTTATCATTAGCCATTTAGCTGACTTCGGGCTTCACAGAGGGGAGGAGGAACATCAAAGTGACAAAAAGTCGAGAGGGGGACAGAATAATGATTCACAGACGTAACAGAAACAGACAAAAGGCAGAGAAAAGGTGAGATGAGAACTGTGGAAGTGGTCGAATATGACATACAGTAGGGTGATGGTAGTTTGAAGTGATAAGGCAACTTCCGGTTAATAGGCTTTTTTGCCGTATGAGTGAACGTTGTCCAGGGTGCACCAGGTGGAGGTAAGTCTATCGCACACCCTAAAATAGCTGAACAAATAAACCACACATGCACTCAGACAGACCCAAAGATGCGATCGTGATCGTAGAGACCTCTAAGCCAGCCACCCACCAATCAGTACTCGCTGTAGTGTTTAATAACTGAGCTCCGTGACAGACACACAGAGCAAATAAACACCATGAATCTGTTTCACTTATGTTTTCGAGGATATCTCCTTTATATTTGGCAGAGAGCTGTTGCAAGGATGAGGTGAAAAGAGCGGCTGCGAATTAACATGAAATATATCACTTCAATTCTCGGACTAATGACGTTAGAGGAATGCATAAAAGCAGTTTGACAATTATGAGAATTTACCCTAACATTATCTTAGTTGGCACTTTTTCAACCCAAAATAATTCAATAGGTTTTGGATAATTTCTCATGGTTGAATGTTGCATTTTACACTGCGGCAGTACGAAATTCAACATTAGTATATTGGACTGTACTTAATTCAAACCAGTAATATATTTGTCAAAATTCGAATTAAAATAAGATGTAATATACCCGAAATGGCTGACTAAAATGAAAGCCCGATAAACGTCAATTATTAATATCTAATTCAAATAAACAAAAATCACATTATCAAGATTTGGATCAGGCGCAAAAAATTAAAGATATATGTCGAGAGAAAATGGGAAGAAAGATGTAAAAAGAAAATACTATAAATGCAACGCCAGTCAAAGAGCGTCAATAACCTGCAGCTTCAAGAGGCCTTCTCTAAGGCAATACCTCCAGTAGCACCAGAGATCGGAAATCGTGGAAATATACGTCGCGGCGAGACAGTCGATTGTACTATGGGTAGATTGAGCCCTGGATCCATAGTGTCTCTCTTATCAGCCAAGGGAAGAGATAAGACGGAGTCTCCTGTTGAAGCTCCTTCAACATTACCATCTCCATCCTGTGACCGTTTATTTTGCCGTGAAAAAGCTCTAAACTTCTGCATTCGTTCCAATACCATAGCACTGTGAGAAACAATCGGCTCCTGGCAGCGCATGAATGCTTGCCATCGCAGATAATAACTCTTCCACAGCTCCAGATGGTAAGACATAGCACTTGGGATGATCAGACGATGCCCAGATACTTCAGCTGGTGTATACGTGGGATTCAAATACGCTCTCGTATTAGAGTTGATATATGCCCAAAGCGAAATAGTTTTATTCCGCCCAAAGTTGTTGCGGGCCTCGCACTCCGAGTCGAAGAGGAAAGTTCCAAATCGACAAGCGTAGAGTTCATCTAGTATGGTGATAAGGAAGGTCTCATTAAATTCAAAAGAAGCAGGAAATTGGGTCATTATTTGCCAAACGCAGTCAATAAACTGGAGGAAAATGGGGGAGCGTTCCTCAAGGCTGGAAGCTTCCACTTTGCTGGACGTGTTAGAGGGTGGAACGTGAGGTAAGACTAGGTTTCCTCCATCAGCTGGACCACCGGTGCGTTGACAGAATTTGTGCCCAAATGAGATCCACTCCTTTTCAATCAGAACTTGAAAGCCCTTAAGAGTGCGGTAGTAAGGATCAAGCATTAGCATTGCGAGACTAGTCACTTGTGGTGTAAGGTCCCATCCATCTGAACAGTGAACTAGAACCGATGATTTGTGATTTTCAACCTAGGAAAGAAAAGTCTGTTACTCATGAAAAGGATTACAGTACTAATTTAGCACTTCAATTGATAGGTCTCACCTGATCGGCGACAGCAGCTGCTGCAGAGAGGATCTGGTGAGTATTGTAGAGCCACTTAGTTTCGTGGATAGTTTTGAGCCATTGGGTACCATCTTGTTGTGCTAGTGTGACTGATGTTACGGCAGCCATTAGCTTTGTGAAAGAGGCCCGCATTGCATGAAGATTGGGAATATTCATGAAGGAGTATTGGATGTTGGTATAGAAGGCTGGGTTCTCGACTCCTCCCCCCCGTCCACGATTAACCACTGCTGTAAACTACAGGTAATCGGTGATGTTTCTTTAGCCTATGCATAAGTCGGATTTCGCCAAAGCCAAAGTAAAGGTGAATTAGCAAAAACACGCCAAAAAACCAACTAATCTTAGTGACAAATCATTGTGAAGGCAAATAAATAATCACGCATGATACTATAGAACCACAAATTCTATTAGAGACTTAAAACGCTTGATGCAAATGGTTGAATCTCAAAGCCTCTTTCACTCAAACTTTCACAATAGACTTGGGTAACACTCAGGTCTTAAGTTATGGCTTTGAGAACGACGGTTGTTTACTATTAACCACTAAGACGTTGCAAGGATGTAGTCTAGAAGAAATTAAACGTCAATTTCTATAAATTCACTTTCAACTCGCTACTAGACGATATGCCGAAATAGTTTTGCTATAACAACTTATTTTATCGATTCAAAAGATAAATGAAAACAACAGGAGCATACTTGTGGTCGAACATCAAAGACGAGGAGATTGACAGTATTGGCATTGGCATCGCGTATACTGCGGACAAGTTCCTCGTCGGCTTCATTTCTTCGAGCCGAAGGGCCAGCAAGTGGTTGAGCAGCTCGAGTTAGGCTGGCTCGACTCTCTGGATGGAGCCAAGAGAGAACTGGCAATCGGCCATGAGCCCTGTGCGGAGCGCATCTCACCAGAATGTCGTCACTCACCTTCACTGGAACGACCAGAACTTCAGGATATGTGCGACACATCTTGTAACCCTCATTCGCCTATAAAAGTAAATCAATGTGAGGCAAGTGGATTAATTCGGTGAATTGTTAAAGTTATGAAAAAGCTTAATAATTAAAATTTCACAAATCACAAGAAGTTGACATCTCCGAAAGCATTTTGGTAAATCTCCGCAAAACCCAAATGAAAAGCAAAAGCAAACTCTTCTACCTACAACAGCTAAGGCTTCCCAAGTCAAATATCTAAATATCCGACATATTTGTTAATACTCAGAACAGACTATGCCCTCGTTACCTCAATAATAAGTATCAGAATTTTGCGCCTCAATTTTTTCAAAACAGGAGAAAAATACCTTTCACTTAGAAATCTAGAAGTATGAAAACTTCAAGAAATTCCCCACCAAATACGAATTCAATTTCAATAAGTCGTTTAGTTCGCTTGGAAAAACAATGAAAAAAGTGCCACTTTAAGGGCTGTTACAAGTTTTAGAAGCCTCCAACAAAATAAGAATCTTAATCTTTGGCTCTTAAATGTAATAAATTTCAACTAACATTATCTAAATGTGGTGATCTCGATATGACTGACTCGGCACATGAAAACTGCAAGAATAATGTTTACCGGAAGCATGATTACGAAATGGAAAATGAAGAACGTCGAATAATTATTGGAATCTCAAGCAACTCAGTTTCAGAGCGAATTAACTCAGTCAGCTCATATTGAGAGAAAATACCAATAAAAATTTAAAATCGTGTAAATAGAAATTCGGCAATACTTATTTATAAACAAGGTTACAGTCATCAAGAGCAAACTGAAATCACTCCAACACTTAAAAAACAAGCAACGAGATGCCCAATAAATATGAAACTGCCATGGAAGCAACCATACCTTACTAATTCGCCAACCGTTGTTAACAACATTTTGCCGGTGGTATTCATCCTCTGGAATGTAAATGTCCCAGCCAGATTCGAGATAAAGTCCTTTCGCAAGACACACCTCGGCGAAAGTGTAAGCGAAAAGGGGTCTAGTTCGATAAGTTGGACGAATAACTTCTGTAATATATTTCGCTATATCATCTCGAATTGAGACACTCTAAAAAGTGATCAAAAATATAAACAAAAATTGACGAAGCAAATACCGGTAGAACAAAACGAAGTTGCCGCATGTCTTTACAAAATAGAAAAAGACCGGTTTGTTGAGTAACTTGATCAGTTCTGCAAGATTTTTTCAACTCAATCGATTGTATAGTAGTCAGAGGAACTGAATAAAGTGTAGATCGTAAACCACCATGTGGGATGAAGGAAAGACGATAGTTTGTCAACTAATTAAAAATCAAATTTATAATGCAATGTAAACAAACCTCTATTACACCGCAAGAGCCATCGACTCCCAAGCATCGACAATTATCATACTTTGCAACTAACTGTTCGGCCACAAATGTGGTTCTTTGCGTCATTTCATGTAGAATATTGACTATAAAAGTCGAACAAACACTTAATTAATAGGAATGAGCTAACTAAAAGTTGATATAGTAAAATAAGTAAAGAAATACGATAATAAACACATGCTGAACAATAATAGGCACGCGGTAAAAATAAAAAGGAAAATTTTGAAACTCCATTGCAAGGGTTTATGGCCTCATCTGAGAAGCATGACTTAGTCAAAAGTAAACTACCGTATAACCAAACTGGGTAAAGAACAGGCGTTTGAAATGAGCGCCGAATGGAATTCACTAAAATAAATGCAATCAACGAAAATATCGCTAAGATGATTGAGCTAACTTAGATAAAAATTGCAATTAACTTGTAAATGATGAAATATTAGATTAAACTTGAGATCTTGAAATGCTATTGAGCAAGTGATATTTAAAATTCTATATTTTGATGTAAACGTATCTATTTTCATATTTTCGTTTATGTGTACAATAATTTTATTTCAAAATATTACTTTATTGATTCTATTTGTTTAAAAACTTGACACAATTCTGTGATCTTCAGAATTTTTCTCCTGTTTACCGCGAATATTATTATCATTTATTTCCCCAAGAAGCAACTTATGTAGAGTTTCACGATTTCAGGTAAATTAGAAGTAAAGTCTGCACCAAATTTAACATATTTTGATTGCATAAGTCAGAAATCAATATTTATTTCACTTTAGATCAATCAACTTATTGTCAAAATATTCTCTTTTAATAACTTCAATGATAAACTGTGCGTCTGAGAATCATTTTTGAAATATACCTAATCATTTGTCTCACGATTCGATACTCTAGGAGGTCTTTAATTAACTACGCTTTAATTTTCAAAATTTAAGCAAAATTAATTTGCCGTGTTATAGTGCACATTTTTTGAGCTCAACAACAATCAACTCAAATTTTATGGTGGAATTTAAAAAGTTTATAAATAGGATTTTTGACACTTCTCTTTATGGATCAGTTCTCGCCAAAGTATGGCTATGTTCCATACAAATGCAAACTTATCCAAGCCCCTCATCGATATCTCGATTTCTGCAATTTGTCGTAGCTACTTATTTCTCTATATATCTAATGGTTTCAAGACTAGGATCCACTAGAATTTACTTCAATATAGTAGACAGTAGTAAACTTTGTACTGCACATCATTAATTCAACCATTGGCGCTAACATATCGTGCATAGCGCTTTCCCCATACGTCACCACTCTTTTAACATTAAAGCTGAACTGAAACCAGCAAAGGTGGTATCCACTGGCTAAAGTTTAAATAGTTTATCCAATACATGCACGGAGTCGGAATTAAGATTAGCAACTGTTTATTCCCTTTTTAACAGCGTTAAACCGATTATTGTTCAATATATATTTCGTGCCTAAGATTTGCTAGAAGAAATGTTCAAATTTTGAAAATTAATGGAATTTAACTCTTAACGCAGACAAACGTTTTTGAGCATTGTACCAAATAAAATAACAATCATTAGCCAAACCAGTCTTTAATAATTCGATTAGGAATCTCATAGCTATTTGCTTTTATTATTTGTCGAAAATAATTATTATTTGTCAATTTATTAAAGCAGGGGGGATTATTAGTGCACATTTATAATATTCTCTATGTCATTGCTATTTGTTAGATATGCTGTATTCAATTCTAGAAAATGAACAATTCAGGCCTCAATGGATCGTAAAAGATGATTTTAAGTTGTGCAAATCCAGAGTACTGCATTAAAGATAAGAATTACTATAAATTCAACAATGGCACCTGGATATTCTCGACTATCGAGCTTGAATACTGTCATAATTGTTACATGCGTAAAAAGGGACACAGGTTACACGTAATGGTTAAAGGAAGAAGATTTTAGAAGCAAAAACCACCAAAGCAGCTAATTATATTGTCGGAGACTCTTATATAAAGAAATAGAATAAAAATTAATACGGTAAAGGACTAAAAGGAAAAATTTCTAATGTGTAATACTTTATAAATTGCTTTTGAAACCTTTCAAAACGAAAAAAATTGTACTTTTTTCCTGGCGTCATAGTTATCATTATTGCTGAAATATGACATTTCATTTATTAGTCATTAAATTATCTTTAAGACAAAACCTTTAATTTATTTCATGTCCTTCTTAAATTGTTTTAACTTCTTCATCTTTGTGGCGGGCTATATAAACTTTATCCGTGTGTATTTTATACGCATTTGTAAAATCAGAATGGCCTTCTCTTCGACCTCTACTCATAAAAATCATCCAGTATGCATAATTGTTCTTGGTATGGCTGGATCTGGCAAAACTACCTTCGTCAATAAGCTAGTTGAACATTTGACTTTACTGGGAAACAGTCAACCATACGCAATCAATCTCGATCCAGCTGTTTTAAAAACCCCTTACCAGCCAAATATAGGTAAGTACGGGTTTCCTTAATTATCACAATAAATTCTTTTTAATTAATGATTCTAGATATCCGTGACACCGTTAAATTCAAAGACGTGATGAACCAATATGGTTTCGGTCCAAATGGTGCAATTATGACTTCCCTAAACTTCTTTGCTTCTCGTTTTAACGAAGTTATCGGGCTTATTGACAAAAATGCCGATCGCGTTCGTTATGTGGTGATCGATACTCCTGGTCAGATTGAAGTCTTCACATGGTCTGCTTCTGGAGTTATTATAACAGAAGCCCTTGCCTCCTCTTATCCAACTATGGTCGTTTATGTCATGGATACACCTCGGAGTCATAGTCCCGTTACCTTTATGTCCAACATGCTTTATGCGTGCTCTGTTCTCTATCGAATGAAGCTCCCATTCATCTGTGTTCTTAATAAGACAGACGTGATTGACTGTGATTTCGCTGTGGAATGGATGCGAGATTTTGAGGCCTTTCAGAGTGCTCTGCATGCTGGTCGGTCAGGTGAAAACGGCCTGATTGATACAGCTGATGGGCCTTATGTGGAAGATGATTCCTCCCAATACATGAATAGCCTCACTAATTCAATGTCTCTTGTACTGGATGAATTTTACAGTGATCTAAGATGTTGTGGGGTGTCATCTCTCAGTGGCGAGGGTTTTCCTAAATTCATGGAGTTGGTCAAGGAAGCCTCTGATGAGTACTTCAATGTAAGTGTTTTTGCCCTAGAGCATTAAGGGAATTGTTTTCCATCAACTTTTTGTGATAAAGAAACAGTATTTTCTAGTCTTTTGTTCGATTTTGCAGTCTTCCTACGGTTTTATGACTACTGGATGTGTATTGATAAACATTAAAAATACTACATATTGGTAATGTATTAACTGCTTTGTCGCAGTTTTATTGTTCATAAATTGATTTTCTGTTTTAGAAATTGATACGTGGTCGGAATTGACCCACCCTGTGGTCAATTTACCCGAATTCGGAATGCTATTGTTTTATTGCTCTTTCGTAATGTCGTCATTTCGAAAATGCGACATTTTAATTAATCAAATCTCTAATTGATCCCCACTTATTTCATGTGATAAGCTTTAGCAGATGGTTCTCAGCAAGGCTAGTTGCCTTAGTTCGAACTGTTAATTGGTTAATGATATTGTTGCCAATTTCTTAGATACCAATCGAATGTACACTTCCTTACATTCTCTGTTATTGAATTATTGATTAATGATATTTAGAATATTACCATAATTTCTGTAAATTTGTTCTCTCTCTCAAGTTTTATCTTGATTATTTCCTCTATTAAATTTTTCATATACCTTTTTATTTTTTGGCTTGGTTGTATTTTAGGTATATCTGCCAGCTTTGAGGGCTCATAAAACACCTAAACGGACCGGGAAAGCGCTCCTCAACCAACCACAAGGTGAGTTTTCTGCTCTTTAAGGATTTCATTGATTCTTCATAAACAATGTGTTATTCAATTCTACTCTAACTTCTAGAACAAAAAATATGTCTCCTACGTTTTCTTCTCCTAAAGTTTTATCTGAGATCATGATTCTTTCACGTTAATAGTCTTGTCAAGTTTTTTTTGTTTTGACTTGCAAAGTTTGGTAATGAATTTTATCTCGTTGGATTTTTAATGATCATATAGAAATAGCCAAAATTTAATCACTGGGGTAAGCCAATGTGAACTATCACCAGGACTATCTTTTTTTGTCAATATAAATGCTCTGATTTGTCCGTTAGGATTATTGATTTTTGAAAGCCTTTCGGTGAACTGACCCAAAAAGTGGAGTGTTAACAACAATTTACTTGGGAAAATTGGAAGCATCCTATCGATATTACTACGAGGAATTCTACCACCACTCCATATTAACTAGAGTAATTGGCTGTCCATGTAAATTTTTCGCATCGATGATCATTGAAATCGTAACATTTGATTTGACAAGCTTTCACCGAAGTATTATTCTGTCTTCATCCTCTCTTCCAGCCTTAGGCTAGTGCCATAATATTGCAAACCCCTCGTTATTGTTATTAATACAGTCTTAACGAGGTGGCTGCTGTTGCTTATAATATAACCCGGATACTCCATAGCTGAAATAACAGGTTATCGGTTTTGCAACTGGTACCAAATCTGGTCTCGTAGCATTTGCACTCTTCTATAGGGTGGTCAAAATGGAAAGGTGCGCAATAGACTTACCTCCACGTGGTGCACCCTGGGCAACGTATACTTATACGGCAAAAAAGTCTATTGATCGGCAGTTGACTTCTGACTTCAAACTTCTATGGCCTGACTATTTGTCATATTCGACCCCTTCCAAAGTACTCATCTTACCTTTTTATGCTTTTGTGTCTGTCTGTCTGTTTTACCTCTGTGAATCATTATTCTGTCTCCCATCTCGACTTTTTGTCTCTATGTTCCTTCTCCTCTCTGTGAAGCCCCGAAGTCAGCTCCAGGGGTAATGATAACTATCAAAACGCCTGCCATTTGATATAAATAAATATTTTGTTGGAAGTAAATATCCAATATTACGTATAGCAACATACTTAGTATTTATTCGATGTAGAGCTTAACACGCCTCTTTTATCCTAACCAGACTGTAATTTAAATTTCAGGTGAGACGGGCGTCGATAGTGACGATTATGATGACGACCAGATTGAGGACGGACCGAGTAGGCCTGAGAAAAGC